CATCTGGATCGGCTGAACCAAAGCTCCGACAGCTCACTTGCTGTCGTTTGCCCCTATTCTCATAGAGGTCGAACTTCAGTGAGTGAATAGCTGAATGCCACCGAGCGGCATTCGGCTTGGCTATGCTGCTCAGTACCTCCGTGGTACTGAGCAGCATAGAAAATAAGTGAAAAGAATGAAAAAAAAGTTGAAAAATGATTTAACAAATGATAACAAATAGTAAAATATTTAAAAAAAAATATTTTAAAGAAAATCAGTTGGGCGGAGCTAGCGGTGACAGCTGTTTCCTATTGGCCGGCACCTGCCCAGAGTCTTCCAGCAGGTCCTGGCCAATGAAAAACAACTGGGCAGAGGCGGCTGTGACGTCACGCCCAGCCCCGCCCATTTGTTATTGTTTAATGACAGATCAGCATCCCCAGGTCATTTGGGGATGCTGATCTGTCATTACAACTGGGAGGAGCGAACAGTGAGATCACGGCTGGCTCCGCCCAGCTGCCATTTGTGTGGAGATTGGCCGGCTTCGGCCGAACTTTTTCCATGCTTTGGGTGTCACTATGGCTCAGTCAAACTGAAGCATATTCATTCGGCTCGGCTGAGCCGTTCGGCCGCCTTCGGCTGCTGTACGGGCTACAACATTTTATCTGACCCAGACCTAATTTGTTTAAAATTTTTTTATAATTATTAGGAGATGAAGCAAGAAGTTGAAAAATGTCTGGTCATTTATCTGTTTCTTGCTCTACCAGCCATAAAAGTAGTCCATGGGTCCACCTAGAGTGTGCTATGTACTAGTACCTAATGACTCTCCCCTAGGGGAAGTTCATGCTCCCCTGGGTGACCCTTAAAGACCTCCATTTGGAAAATTCTAGTTACCTGGCTGCAAACCATGTGCCGTCTGCGTCCCAGCGTGGAACGCATCGGCCGCGTCACGTTGGACGCTTCCCTCCCTGAAGGGGAGGTCCCATGCGTTCCGGGGTGGAATGCGGAAGTGACAGCATGCTCCATGGCTCACTTCCACGTTCGCGGACTATATAAAGCTCACCTGAACGCTGTTAGAGTGTTCCACTATTGGGTTTGATGCCCCAACGACGCCAGGAGCCTCTAAACCCCCCTTACTCTCTACAACAGCCTCTGCGCGCCAGGATTCCGTGTTACCTTGGTCCATCCAGCTACACTCCATCCTCAGGAGATCCAGGGACCCAGCTTCAAAGCGCAAGTACTGTTAACTGTGGGGGAATGACACCTTGCCTGCTGGGTTGACCGAGTTGCATTCCACATGGAACTGTGATTTATCTTACTTTGCTGATACCTGGCTAATACCTGAATCTATTTAAATCTAACACTGTGCATTGTGCCATAGCTCTGATTACTGCATTTGTCCAATGCTATTTCATTTGAAGCAAAGATTCCTAACTGGGTTATGAAGGGAATAAGCATGATTAGGTCTCTACTTATATTTAAGTTCTGTGGCATATGATGCATGAATCCCTCACTCTCCGTCAAGATTGAGAGAGACGCCTGGGATTCTAGCCTGATTGCCATACCCAGAAACTCTTTAGGACTTGGTCCGCAGCTGTGATCCACTCACTCCTCAGCAAACCAAGGGAGCATTACAGACTGCCATACTTTCTAAGTAATGGATGCAGGACCCCTAAGTGCAGCAAGTGAAGTTGCGCAAAAATGCAACTTTGCCTGTGTAGGCAAAAATCCTAGCACCGGCCCTGTGGGTGAGGAGGCTCTTTTTGATGGTCAGTTGACAAACTCTGCCCTCAGGTCACCCATTAATATAGGTCTAGCTCCCATAAACTGACACAAGCCCTCTGGGGACTCGGTACTGTAGATATTCTTTGTTACCCTAACCTCCTGTCCATACATACAACACCTATAATTTACCGGGCCTACCAATCACTGCGCTACTGAGGCACATTGCATGGTACACCCTGTGTGATACATTTTCTTTGGCCCACAGGAAGCCATCTTTTCCATGAAAGGGCTAGGCGGTTGTGTTTGTCCCCGAGTCCAACAATTTACTCCCTTCGCACCCAAGATATTGAGATTCTGTTCATGTTTGTTTCCAGTATATGAGGTAATTGCAGTTCGTAGGGGGGTAAAAAAAAAAAAAGCATAATTCCTTCACTACCATAAAATAAACAGGCGATGAGTTCAGTGTTCTTCAGTGGACTTTCCAATCACTGATCCAGTAGAACACCATTGGAATTTACACAACCAAGCAGACTGTATATTCTTAATGTAAAAGTAACACAACACCAAGAACAAGATTCAACACAAAGAAAGATAAATGTTTTATTAGGTTCTTATATAATTATTCCTATCACAAGCTGCAAGTCTTCTTTAACATCTTAAATTGGATAAGTCTAAACTTTAAAAATTCTCACTGCACCCGGCTACATACACACTTTAATATACACTACAAATGTCACCCAACTAATAGAGAATTTCTCTACTTCACACTTTTCACAAGTTTCCATTTTAAGTTGTCCCCAATAGAGTCCCACTTCGTCCACAGAGTCTGGGACATGAAATGTCAAGGGACCGGTCCAGCTTAAAGTGGGGATTATCAAATATTCAATGTGACAATGGACATAACATTCTAAATAAATCAAGTCTATAGGATGCTCTTCCTCTAAACCAGGGATGGCCTAACTGCGGCCCTCCAGCTGTGGTGGAACTACGAATCCCATGAGGCTTTGCAAGATTCTCACAGCCACAGACATGACTCCTGGAGAGAGATGCTTCATGGGATTTGTTGTTTCACCCCACAGCTGGAGGGCCGGAGTTTGGCCATCCCTGCTCTAAACAGAACATACCAGCTATTGAAATGTCCATGACCATGATGGACCATCCAATCACACAGATGAGTCAGCCAGATAATGACTCCATTCAATTATATGGGGCAGATTGGTGGTCTCTTCAGGACTCTACCTTATAGAATTGTTTATGCAAGACCAAACAAGTCCATGTCATTCCTGGTTTTGTAGTGCGGTCTCTGTTGTATATTCATAGGGTATTAAATTGATATACACATAATAGTCCACATGGGTTGGTAGCGTGGTTTCTTGGGCAGTAACAACCCACATATCCTATAAGAAATGGCTTGGCTATTGAGTCTCTGTTCCATTTGACCATTGCAAGGGTTTTTGATAAGACTCAACCAAGTTTATTACAAATCATCGATGACAAAATCTGACAACTAATTGTCAATCTGCATTGGATTTTGTCTTTATTTATTGCCTTCATTTTTACACTCTTTCCAGTTTCTGATAAAACTTCACCAATGTATGGATTGATTCATCTCAATGCAATTTAATTTACCTCGGAATGTCTTGTGTTTCCTATTCCATGTCCCCATATTGTTTCAGGCAGAAGGAGAGCTTATACCCATCAGTGCGGGGTCTCTGTGTCACATAGTATATAGTTATATAGTATTTGAGGTTGAATAAAGACATATGTCCATCAAGTCCAACCTATTGTGTGTATGTGTGTGGTCCTACTGATGTATGGATATGTACAGGTCCCTGTGTCCTTCAACACTTAGTCATAGAAGAGAAAGAAGAAGGAAAACACAAGCCATGTATAGATAGTTCTGCTGCCAAATTCTGGCTGGACTCTGGCACGATAGGCCTAACTCTCATGAGCAACTGGCAGGGGTCAATTGACTAACATATATCACATATGGTAACAGTGTCTCGTTTTCCTAGAATAGTGCATGTGATATTAAAATAGTCAATTCATTAGTAAAAATAAAGCATGGTGATGAAGAATTCTTAACAAATGAATTACATTAAGGTTCATTCTCTTTAACAAAAATGCCATATTTATGGTCTGTCAGTGAGAGGAACGTCTGCTCTGATAGACTATACTTCCTTACTACAATGAAGCTTTTTGAATACACCTACAGTATGTGTCATGTTTCTGACTATCAGTAACACTTTCCCCTGAATAATAAAGTGTTCCAGACTGCTGCCCTACCTACCATTGCAATGTTGTTTGGTCCATGAACTGTTTGTGCATTTTTGTTGGTGCATTACCAGTTCACCATCTATGTGTCAGTGCAACTAGAACAGAACTATTGGCAGAGCAGTGACAGTTTACCACAACCTCTTATTTGGTTCTAAGGGGCACTGACATAGATTGAGATAACTGTTTCCTTCATCCTCTCTATCCCCAGCTCAGGGGTGTCTTGTGGGGCTATGAAATCAGACTTTTCTTGCCTGGTACTAAACATAGGAAGCCAGCTGAGGTAGGAGTGGGGTTACTCAAGGCATTTGGCCTAGTTGGGTATGAAGTATAACTCCAGATCCGTCTAAACTGTTGACATCAACTCCAGAGCACCTCAACCTTTATCACAACAGATGCACAATTATACCAACTGCCACCCTGCTTGCTACATGCCAGTACCCTAAATGTTTGATGATTGGTCCAAGCCTCCTTCCTTTCTCTCTCTATTTATGTGTTCCACATAGGACATAAAAAAATCTCTGGACTCTACTCTTACAATTAAAAGCCACCTTGGCTAAGGGCAGGACAGCACTTGGCCTTCACAATGTTATAAAATGGGAGGGTGGGCATGATGAGGGGCATTTTATTAAATTGTTTATCCTTGTATATCTGTAGTCACTAAGAAGGTCTACAAAGTAATATGTATGTATGTAAGTAATATCCTCTCTTCTTAACAATATCAGAGGCTATAAACCAAACATAAAGACTATTGTGTATTATTCAATGACATCTGCCATGTTATCTGTCAAATGTCTGGAAAATGTTTCTTTTTCTGTAACAATTACTGAATTTAAAGTCCCACCCCAGTCACAATAATCTTACCGGAGTTCAGTAAGTTGAACAATGCCTTTGCTGTTAAGCTACGTGCCATCAGCACTGCCTTCTCCCCCTGACGTTGATCTTGTTTATATGCGGGTAGAAGTCAAGCTCTCAGTAAACCTCCGTGCCTGCTATAGTTGTAAATGCTGCAGGTCTCATAGACCTTAGTGCTGCAGTTGCATGTCAGCCTCAGTATCCTTCTGACCAATCACAAAGCAAACGACCCTCAAGCTGTAGAGGGGAGAGGGACGGAGATGAGACCACAGTGCTGAGATTTATGAGACCTGCAGCCCATAAAGCCACAGGTGGCATGGAAGTTTAGCAGGAGCTGGACTTCCACCCACATATAAACAAGATGATCTGCTGAGATAAGTAGGCAGTGCTGATTATTTTAGGTGGATCTACTGAACTCCGGTAAGATAACTGTGCCCACAAAAATCAATTAGGGAAACTAACTTTTTGTAGCACGTGTCCTTACGCCCATGCATGCCGAACTAAAGGACTTTTTATACCTGGGATTACTGAGAATTATAAGGACACAATGCAGAGTGGGGAAGGCAAATAGAAAGACATCATAAATACATTCCCCAAGATGTTGAATATAGATACGTTCAGCCATTATAACAGCCATCACAACAGAGAAGATGATGTAAAAAAGCAGAAAACTCGACTCTGATTTTACAACTTTTAGAGCCTTGACATTGGAATTGCCAGAGGATGGGGATTTTCCCATCCTATAGACATGACAGGCTATGGAGGCCATGGTTAAGGCAGTGAAGAATATCACTAGGAGAAGCCAGTCAAAGTTTTCCAGGTACATTTGGAAGAATATCATCAGGAGGGAATTCTCTCCAGTCATGTTGGACGGAGGGGAGACAGAACTGTTGAAGGAAGGTCCCTGCTGGATGTCGTTACTTAGAAGGACATTTAGGACACTGCCACATAGAGAAGCCACCACGACCACCACTATCATCCATGGAATTAGAATATCAACCTTCATCTTGACCAGGGAGAGGAGACTGGATCTGAACTGAACAAGTTTAAAAAAGTGGAAGAAGCACATAGAAAGAGTGAGGCTTGTTCCAGACCAAATACAATATGAACTCAATATGGCAATTAAAGATCTCATGTAGATAGTCAAACTCAACAGGAAGAACTTGTGACAAACGTTGACCAGCATCAAAACAGTAAAAACTGTATGGGAGAAGCTTAGCGGTAATAGGATTTTGTCTTTGGTCCTCATGTCTACACCAATGGAAACCTCCATGAAAATTGCCCACATGATGAAAAGACTTGTAGCTATTCCAGTGACCGCTTCTGATATTAACAGATAAAAGCAAGTCCTTGAGATGCCTTCAGCCGCCATGGTCATGCTCTGAGTGAGGACACAAGGAGCCAATAATGATCTATTCTTCTTGTGGAGGGATCTGTAGCTGGTTTCCAGAGATGTAGTATTGGTCCAGCTCGATGAATTTGTCCTGTTGTTTGTTATCACACATCAGGCAGTAATCTGTCTGTCACAGATGAGGACAAATTAATCCAGGCACTACATGTTCTGATGATGTTTGCATATGATCAAACTGACAGGTGTAGATTTACTTAGATGCATGGCAAAGCAAATACACGTCTTTAAATAAATGTTCCCTTTGATGTTTCTTTCCATGTGCTGCACGTACATTATGCAAATGTATCCTCAGTCTAACTCATGTCTATACGTGTCATTTATTTAATGGATTTTGTTCATGTAAAGTCCCACTTCAGGCTAAACCTCCTTTTTACTTCTTTGAATTTAGTGGGGAAGGAAAAACTTCTGTCAAAGGCTACAACATAGAGTATAATATTCCATATAATAGACTAAAACATCCAGCAACACAGACTGTGACACACTGACAGAGAAATAAACCCAGAGAGCACCAACCAGGATGAATGGATGGAGATGGACATCATGTCTGAGCTCAGACTGGGATAAAAAGGATAAAAAGCCACTTTAGGCTTCCAGAATTGTTCGGCCACCAATATGCTTCCACGTTTAATTCTCCAAACTGTTGGTTTTAATCTGATTGGTCAGATAAGACAACACAAGCAGATCTTATAACCTACACTTTGTAAGAAATTTAAGACATGAACCACTTTCATGTAACATTATGTTTACACATATTTATTAACTGGTCTTGTTAGGATAATATAAAAGGCGGTATCCTTTGAAGTGCTAGCCCTAGTTTGGAATCTCTGAGGAAAAGGACAGCAGCAATAGCTGTGGAAAAAGACGGCAAGTTCCATATAGTAAGCCAATAAAATATTCCAAAATCATCACAGGGAAGAATGAAGGAAGTTAGAATTCAAGACATGAAGACAGGAGGATCAGGAGAAGGTTCAGGACTGCTTTGGCAGCACTTTGATGAGCTTGGGAGAGTTGTTAGGAGAAGCAAAGTCCACCAGAAAAGAACTGGGATCATATGACCATGGAGTTTCCATAAATGTACAAAAATTCATAAGCCACTGGAGTGCCTCAGAACAACCAGGATGTTTTTGGTATCATGAAGCCGGGCAGCGTGTCATTTCCCCCCGGCTTTCTGATTGGCCAGAAAGCCGACTTCATGTTCCCTCATCACCTGATGATGAGGGAGCATGGAGACAGCTTCCCTGCTAATGGGGAAGCTGGGTGGCGAGTCTTTACATGCCGCCCGGCTTCCTTAATAGGACTTCTGGTATCGGTATTCGGTATCGACAAGTACCAAAAAAATTATCGGTACTCGTACTCTATACCGAAAAACCAGTATCGGTGCATCCCTAGTCACTACTTCCCTACAATATTCTTATTACGGTTCTGATCCTAAAGAACTGACCCTCACATGAGATCAGTAATGGTTCATTAGTTCAGAGTTGGATGGTGCTCTGCCTGGTCAGCCTTGGACACACTGCCCTAAATGCATAAAGTTTGGTTTCATTCAGAATGATTGATCATTGGTGTAGTTCTTGGTGTTGCAGAATTGGGGGTGCAGAAGATGCTCTGTAACGTTTTGATGCTACGGGGAGTGAAATAAATCCCTCGATGACACAGCCAGTGATAGTTTCAAGTTTTTGTAACTCCTCATCCCCCCAATCCAAAAGGGAAAATATTGCCGGCTGCTCCTCTTTCGGACATATTCCTCTCGTGCCTTGTCCACGGGGCCACAAGAAGTGAGGTGGAATCTTTTATATGGGAACACAGGTAGCGGTAACTCTTCCTACTCCGTCCAGAATAAAAATCCAGATTAAATAAACAGGCCGTTGTTGCGCTTCTCTCCATTTACGTAGAATGGGCAGGTGTAAAAGGCTCTATAAACAAATGATGTCTAGTTGAAGATATTCCGGATATTCACGTGATTAGGGATGAGCCGAACACCCCCGTGTTCGGTCCGTATTCGAACATTCGAGCCGCCGAATAGTCCATGTACGAAATCGAACTCAATGCAAGTGGTCAGATGTTCGACCCCCATACAGCTACCGGTACATGTGGCTGCAGAGGCCTGTGTCCCTTCAAATCCCCTGTGTTGGCGGAGGCAGCGGGGACACAGACTGCTGCATTGCTCCGCTGCCCACGTACCTCTGCTGCTGTCTTCCCCTGGTCCGTCGGCTTCTCCGTTCCCCCGTCCGGCCGCGTCACCTCTGCCCCGCCCCCCTGCCTCCTCTTCATTGCAGGCTGGAAGCCATACCCAGCCTGCTATTGGATATTGTTAAATGCAATAGCCAATAGCAAGCTGGCTATTGCACCCGCCCACTGCCTGCTGTCAATCAGCATGGGGGGACCTGATAGAGAACTTTCTCCCCTCCTCCGCTGAGCCCTGATTGGGCAAAGTCTTGCAGCTGACCTGTGGTCCGGTTGCAAGACTTTAACAAATCAGAGCTTCAGCTGGCATTTTGTATTATGGAATGTACGCGGTCGAACAAACCGCGAACATTCCATAAAGTTCAGCGTTCGACTAGCGCTCGAACTGCCGATGTTCGATTCGAACTCATGTTCTAATCGAACACTCGGCCCATCCCTACACATAATTACCTTAAAGCTGTTCTGATTCGGTGAATGTAGATCTGAATTATACTGATTTCTAAACAACTTGAACCAGATTTTAAAACAAAGATGCAAAGAGTTAATACAATAGCAATGTCCATTCATCCTACAATCAGCATTGCATGAAGTCCTTCTATTTACTTGCTGTTGTCCGTCACTCAGTCCATTGTCAGGTAGTTACAATTTCTCGAAGATGGACACACCAGAACATTTCCTTCAAGACAGCCTTAAGTCTGGGGTTGGCCAGAACAAGGAGGACAGACTGAAATGGGATGAAAGAGTTTAGAACAAGAAGCCATAACCAAAATCCAGTTTCCACCTGTGTGATGACCACAAAATAGAAGATGATCATCACGATGTAAAATATTCCATGGAAGAACAAGGATTGAGTCATCCGGGACACAACTATCTCATAGGACCTCAGACGCCCGCCGTCAGATGTTTGAACATTCTTCATCCTATGACCGTGCTTCTTCAGGGTCACCACCGTGAACGACGTAGTGATGAACATTATCAAGAATGGGAGAATTGTATAAATTATTGAAGTGCTGACAAATGTTGTGCTTGATTGTGAAAGTGTAGAGATCACAGATGGAGAACTATTGCTGGAATTATGAGAAAACGTGTGAAAACAAATGAAGAACAAGCTGCTTAGGGCGCTGTTGAACAGAGACAACAATACATCTACCAGTAGCATCCATGGGACAATGGAGCTGATATTCTTTTTCACCCAGGAAAAACAACCTGACCTAAAATTGGAAATTTTCATGAAATAGAAGAAGCCCAGGCTGGCTGTACTCCACATACATGAGCCAACAGTGAAAAAGAACAAGTAGATAAAAATATATATGGCATTCACTGTGGTGAAGATCCCAAGGCTGCAGAAATGATCAAGCAAACCGACCGACATCAAGATACTATAGCACACACTGGAGGCGGCCAAACACACCAGGATTTTGAAGCTGCTGCTCACCGTTTTTGTTTTGATAAAATCACGATAAACTACAAATATAGTAAACGCATTCATTAGCATGCCAGCGTTTATCTCCAGGGCTAAAATGATCATAAAAGGCAAGCGGCTCTGTGTGTAACCTTCAGGACTCATCATGACACAATTGTCTCCTTTCCTTTTCTGCTTTTTTAAGATTCAGAGTCCAGATTGGATGGTTAAAGATTTCCTTAAGATGTGTTGAAGCCAAATGTCCATTCTATGTGAGAGTTTTGTCTTGGGGAGTCTCAGAGAACGGCGATCCTCAGTATTGTCAGACCAGCAGCTGAACATCTGTATGACAGTCATATACACATAGCAGGAGGACAGATGGTGGAAATACCTGAGAGACCTCACGTCCCATCCGTCAAGTTATATGCACCTGTGTGAGGGTCCATCATTTGAATCCATGCAAAGTGTTCAGCTCTACAATTACTTCTGCTGGGACTCTGAATAATAGAAAACAAACATTATGCAAAAACGACTTCCTGCACTTGGTCTTTATCACGGGACACGGGCTGGTCAGGTTTATGGAGAAGGTCTGTACAGTCATTGTCATAAACACTTTGTCTGAGTTGTTTATGACTGAGAGCTAGACATGTGCACTGCCAAAAAATTTGTTTCATTTCGTTTTAAATTCGGATTTGTGTTATTTAGTTTTTCAGGATTCGGGTGTGAAAGTCAATTCGGATTCGGAATTCGGATTCGGACGAAATTCGGTAGCGTTAGTACGAACGTTCGTTTCGTTTTCTGTTCTTATTCGTTTCTTATTCGTTTCTTATTCGTTTCTTATTCGTTTCGTTCGTTTGCAGCAAAAGTGACATTTGAGGGGGAAAAAATATTTTTCTCCTTCTCTAATGTCACTTTGCTCCAACGAACGAAACGAATAAGAAACGAATAAGAACAGAAAACGAAACGAACGTTCGTGCGAACGCTACCGAATTTCGGAAATGGAAATTCGGATTCGTTTGCATTCGTTATGTCTGTAATTCGGAATTCGGATACATCCGAATGTCCGAATTTACGAAAATTCGTCCGAATTTCGATTCGGAACGAAACGAATCGCACATGTCTACTGAGAGCCATCCAACTGATCTGTTTCCTGGACCCATCAGACATTTATATATTTCATGATATGTTCTGTAATGAACTTAAGCATGTGTCAGTTTGGATCTAGCATTTTTTTTTTAAATGTTGTCCTTGTTTAAGGAGAAGCAATGCAGGTCTTTTTATCAGTAATAATTAAAGCTGGAAGAGGATGTCTAGCCTTGGTGTGTCCATCAACTATCATTTATAACCTCCACTATAACTAGCTCTTCTAATGGGC